AGTTTGCTGAGATTAAAACCTGATTAAAACACACTTGTTATCACTGGCCAGCTTCCAGAAAAGTGAAATTATGTTTAGACTGTCCAGTGGTCAAGAGGAGTAAAGCAACACACTGCCACCACTTAGACAGCAAGGAAGTAACACCTTTGCCCTGTCTTTGCTATGCAGTCCCAATGGGTTTTACAGCAAAGCGCTAGACTGGAAAGGTAATGAAAGGAAAACAGATGCTGGCAGATGAAAGAAGCTTGGAGAGCCATACAAATAAAGGTCCACTTGGAGTCCTGTCCTCTCCAGAGCATTTGCTGGGTCTTCTTGCTCACTGCCTTTCCACAAGTACAAATGGTACAGCACTGCAAAGAACAGTCAGAAGCAGAGGAAAGTGCGTGCAGAGAGCTGACTCTTCCTCTACATAATGCTCCAAGTAGAATGAGAGTAAAATATGTGCATCCAAAGTGAAGCTTTGCACTATGGAGGTTTCACATTCTGCTTGCTGTAAAACCTTACTGGAAGCCATTCAAAACATAGGAACAAAGATGCCAAATACAGCACAACGACGATAGTTTTTCTGTAAGTGAACTCCTGACCAACACGTGAAACATCTAAAAGTAGCTCATGCAATCTTGATGTTTCACAGGCACTGCAAGTCATTTGTGACTGAGAACAACTCCCTGAATTTTCTCTGTGTTCCTCAAAATTATGGAGAACGAAAGGTTGTAGGCAGGAGGTTAAAAAAAAAAAATATCAACAAGGCAAAATGTTCTTACTTCTTAAATGGCAGTAGGTGCATAACACATAGCTGTTGAAAGAGCTAGTTATTCCACAAGAGTTTTTTCTTCTCCTTGTATGCATCCAGCATAGCTATACATTTTTCCTAGATGAGATCCATTTACTTAGGCACGATTTGAGAGCCTTGGCTAGGTTCTCAGTATTAAATCACTTTCCAGGGCGTGTACAGATGCCCTATGCTCCACGTTTACCTTCCTATTTGGAGATTTGCTTTTGCCCCACAAACAGCTCACAAACGACTTGTACACATCCAGGGCGATCGACGTATCTCTGGCAGTTAGGGTGGATACGGCATTTCCAGGTGTACAACCTTCAGGATTACTTCTTCATTACTTCCTTTCCACTTGTTTTTTTTTTTCCTTCTGTGATTTCAAACAGACACCCGCAGCAGATGCTTCATGCTTTCAGCCTGCCATGTGCGTGCTGTCCCATCCGCAGCTGCTCCTCTGGCATGCACATACACCATACGGGGGAGCACGCTTGCTCCTCTAACACCTCCCACAAAGCTTCAGCAACTTTCCTTCCACATGGAGTCTGGCATCCCCAGGGGCTTTAAAGCAACTGCCCATGGCTTTTTTCAGTGTTGCTCTCCCAGACATTGCCTCGCCTGGGTTTGACGGTTTGGAATTTCTATCAGCACGCTCCCTGACTCAAAGCAAACACACATTATTTTTCCTTTTCTTTCCTGCCTGGATTAAAAGAGAAAAAAGATGATTTTGCAGTAGCTAGCCCTGAACGTCACCGTTCTCTTGCTTACACCAGCCTGTTGCCACCAGTGCAGGGCTGCAGGCCTAACGCTGCCTGCTTCGTAAGGGAAAGGTCTCCTACTGCATAGCAAAGCAGGCTGCAGGCCTCTCAAAGCTGCGGTGGGGGCGGTGAGACGAGGCACCTCAGGCCACAGCCACAGCAGAAAGGGAAGATGACAGCTCAGCTGCTCACATCTGCATTAAAAGCACAAAACCAGACATTTACACCAGGCAGCACCAAAGTCGGTGGCACACACATGCGGGCTGAGCTCCTCCAGGAGGGAGGCACTCTGCATTCGCCGGCCCAAGCACCACAGTCTTTGCGGCTAATAGGATGGTTTCCTTCCAAAACCTTCCCCACAGCAGCGGTGGCCCAGGAACATGCATAGCTAAGTTAGGCTGAAAGGGAATTTTCCACCACCCACAAACCTCTTCCTACCTTGCATAAACCTTCTTTTCACCCCCTCTGTCAGCTAAGGGATATCAGACACAGGCAAGTACACTGAGGAGACCTCCATTTTCATCTGAGAAAATAAGCTTAAGCAATCCCCATTATAATCACTCTTCTCTCAGCTAACTTTCTGGAGCACAGATAAGATCAAAGGTGGCTTTCCCAGCCAACAATGTTATTAGCACCTCAAGGAAAAAGTCATGTTGCACACAAGCCAGAGCTGTCTGATGGCTTCCTTCATGTGAGGACGGAGACAAGCGGTAGCAGCGGGGGGCTGTTACCCTCTGCACAAACAAGGCAGCATCTGAGCATGAATAGGAAAACAACGTGTTGTGAAAGAGACGTATTTTCAGGACGTTTTTGAATTGCTACTTCTTTGAAGGAGCAGTTACCAAAATAAACCAATACACATATATTTTTAACTACAGAAAAACATCTTACCCAGAGAAGCTGTGGATGCCCCATCCCTGGAAGTGTGCAAGGCCAGGCTGGATGAGGCTTTGAGCAACCTGGTCTAGTGGAAGGTGTCCCTGCCCATGGCAGGGGGGTTGGAACTGGATGGTCTTTAAGGTCCCTTCCAACCCAAACCAGTCTGTGACTCAATGATCTTCATGGCACATGGTCAGAAAGCACGACGGTAATAATGCACTGTGTGCTGAAGTTAAAAGAAAAGCAGACAGGCATTGCCCTTAAAGCTGGTTCACAAGCAAGTGAATCCTGGATCCATTTGCACCACGAGACAAAAAAAAAACCAAACCAAACCAAGACCTCAAAAAAACACCAGTCAGTTAGAAGTGTCCTTAATTTTATATGGAACATGAGGATAAAAGACCCATGGGATACCTTTCAATTCATGATTTTTATCTTTGTTAACTGAGATCAGAGGGAAGACTTGGAGCACTAGGGAAGGGAGTCTGTGAGGAACAAGGAGCTCCATGATGAGCAGAAGCAGCAAAGCTCAATTTCCTGTCTGTACTTTCCGTAAAGGTAACATACAGCACAGACTCTCTGATGTACAAAGAATAGTTCTCCCATCTCCTCTCCTACTTTCACGAAGGTTACTGCAATTCGCTATCCCTAAAAAACTCAACTTTCCTCTGTAAAATGTGGTGAAAATGGGCCAAAGGATTCAAAAGCTGCTGAGGAGAGGCAAGAAACAGATATGCACAAATTAAGGATTGGATTATGTTTTCTGAAGCTGTAACAACAGTAAGAAAAGAGAAGTAGCAATCAGCAGTTCCCAAAATACGACATAAGTATCACCTGCAGTTTGAAAGCGGTATGCAAATGACGTCCTAACAGCCCAAATACGTTCACGCACGCCACTGGGACTAAATTTGCAACAGCCTTGTATAGAGTACAGTTAAGCTAAAACAAAACATAAGCACTTAATTCACGTAAACTAGCAGGGCAAGAGCCTCCTCCCCAACACAGTATATGCTGGTCATCCTGCACCGGAGTAAGAACCCTCCCACACCTCACCAAGGGCTTCCATGTTACCCCAGTTTCTGCAAGTCATGCCAAGATCATACAAGCATTACGTCAGCCGTGTGAGTTAAAAAAACCCACACTTCTAGAAAGAAAATGTAGCTCAGGAGGGTATAATTGAAATGTCTTTTTGAATTGAAGAAATGGTAACAAGCGTTCCAGTCCCAGCCTAAAAAGCGTGGGAACATGGAGCTGGGAGAGCAGTATGCACCTCTGCCTAAGTGAGGTCCATAGCTCTGTCCACCTTTGCTGTCAGATGCCCGAGAGAACTCAGCGCAGAGGAAAAGATTAGAAAACCCAATATTATTAATATTTACGCAGCGCTTTCCACCTGGCAACTTTTAAGAAATCAATAAAGTAATTTACCAAGAAAAATAAAAATGTACATTGGCATTCAGTGTGATCAGTAGCTTATGCTTTCAGAGGAAAACAATTCTACTTTATCTTTATTAGAATGAAACTTTAAGGCCTGAATTCACTATACATTATTCATTGTTACATTTTAAATCGGCAGAGAGGTAATCAATCAGCTCATTAGCTCCAAAATGCATTTAACAGTACATTTGGCTAAGTTCCCATATTAAGAAAACAACAGAAAAACCTGGAGCTGTTAACTTTTTATCACTGGTTAAGAACTAAGAAGTTAGGGCACTGTAATCGTTGTTTAAAAAAAAAAAGAAATTGAAAAAAATCCAGCTTTGCCACCTTGGACTATTCTCTCGCTGCCAAAGCCCAGTTAATTATTCTCCCTTATTTCAATTAGTCTGTTGACATCTTTCTGAAATCATTTCCAGCTACAACAGGGCTTCCTTTTTGTGGGCAGCAGCACATGTCAGCTTGGCACAGCTTTCCTTTTTCACAAGGGCAAGATGCTTCCTTGTGTTGGTACAGGAAGCCACCAAAAACATATTGTGGCTGGATTGAAGAGCAGATTCCACAGCGCTGGCCTTCATTAGCCTTTCTAGCCAGCAACATTACGCCGATCTGAAAATTCAACTTTTAGGACTAAGATTGAAGAAAACATACAGTTCACATGCTCACCGTGACAGAGCAAGTCTTGTATTTCAGACAGGTCATCTCTCTCCCCCACAGCCTGCGGGATGAGGTGGCAGCGCACTGATTTTTATTGCTGGTGAACTCAAACAAGAGACTGCTCGTTATGAGACACAAGGCAAGCACAGGCAGATACGATGGCTGTGTCCATTCCCTTCTACTTTGCTGGTTTTGGTGTTCGGGTGTTGTTTTTTTTTTTTATGCATAAAACAGGTACAAGTGACATTCAAACTCCTGGAGAGCTGCAAACTCACCCCACTGACGTAACACGTGTTGAGCGTTCTTGAGTTGGGACACCATGGCAGTGCATCACTGGAAAAATCAGGGATTCATCCGTCTGCTTTAGCAGTAGGGAGATGAATTTTCAAGGGGGGTAAATTTTCTGTTCTCCAAGGTACTGAACCCGCAGAGCGATGCCAGATATAAGAAAAAGGTAGAGCGTTAATCCAAGTAACTCTAGCAGCTCTTTTATGTGACACCCTGCTTTGGTGGCTTCTTTATTAATCTTAACTGTTAGAACAGAAAACAAGTTAAATCATGTGATATTTAGAGCGCATCTCATTACTTTTATATGTGCTCCCGCAAATACAATTAATACTCTATTTTTAAATGAGTTTTCCTTGAAGTTTCCCTAGAAGTTTCATATTTTTCCTATGTTCCATTTGCATTTGCTGTTCTCAGATCACTTACACAGACAGGAGTTAAATAATATTTTGAAAATCAAAACTAGAATTTATGAGGCTCGACAGACCAGTAGTAAATACAGTAAGCACTTGACAAAAATACACAGACAGACGGGCTTTGGAACCACTTCCTTTTTTAACAGCTCTAAAGCTTCTGTATAATTAGGCTCATTTTGTGACAAACAAAAATGGGATTAGATCAGCATTACTGTTATTATAGCAGTGACATGACAGAACCAAGATGATTTTACTTGTCAAGCGTTTAATCAATTTTCAGTCCTGCACTGGCCTCTCATTTTCACAGCTTACAGGAGACTACCTGCCTCCTCATGAGCACGAATCACCAAGTTCACCCCCTTGTCAGAGTTAACCCACAGTGAAACTGCCATCTTTATAAACATTTCACAACATTTTTTAAACGGTATTCTGTCTGGGAGGGGAAGATCATAGCCTGTTCGTTTGCCCTCTTTTTTTCTTGGAGGGAAGAGGGGAGAAGTGGAATTCTGTATTTCAGGTAACAGAGACTTCATTCCTAACAGACTGCAATGTCACATATTGAAATCATGGTCAGTAAACAACAGCTGTAAGCCCCTACTTGTTCATATGACAAATATTTCACCGAAAAATGGAGCAACATCAGAAAGCTAGAAAACAAATGGTCATTCTCAGCTCTGTCCGTGTTGCAGCTGGTATTCACGCAGGTTTAGATTAATCCATGAATCGCTTCTTCAGATCTTATGCTAGGTGTCAGTTAAGCAAGAAATCTGGCTCCCGATAACCAAAGAGTTTAAAATCGCCTTCAAAGCGTGCATAGAGGCGTCTTATGTCTCTCTTGCTAATCCCCGAAAAATACCGCTCCACTTTTGTTTTGTTGTACACCGTGATGCCTGGCGGAATCGTGGGGTACGACACCAGATGGTCTATGCCGGCTGCCTTCAAGATATACGGAGCATCGTCCTCCAGGGTTTCATGGTGTCCGATCACGCTATACTTGATTTCACAGGGGGCACAGAGCTCCACGTACGTTACCCAATGAATGATGTGGTCACCAAACTGGACATCCAGCCATCGGTGGTTAGGGTCACCCAGATAGCGCACAAAATCCTCAAACTGCAGCCCTTTGGTCTCTGTGCGATTCCTTCTGTATTTACGAATGATGCCAGGAGCAATTTCATGCCGGTACCAAGGTTCAAACCGAGGATTGTGCACAAACTTGTCTTTAAATGCGGAAATAAGTCTTTCAAATGGATCTCTAACAATAAAAAACTTGAAGTATAAATTCAGTCTAAACAGAGGAAGGACAGAAAGGAGAAATTAAATCATGCAGGGAAGTGCTTAGGGAAGTGTTTAAAGAGTGTTTAGCAAAGACTTACAAAACATACATAAACTGTGACCACAGCCACAGCAATATGAATCTTACAGCACTCATCTGGTCTGTCAATATCATAACCGATAGGACTAGCAATGCAATTTCTGTCTTTCTACTATCAGTTTTTGTACATAGTACAGTGGGCATAGTTCATCCTAGTTTTCACAGTTTATTCAAACCAGAGGAGTTTAGATTATCTCAATCCATGTAAATGATGAAAGATGCTGAAAGCTCCACGTCAAAGATATTTTTAATGCCATGTGGTCAAGCTCAAGAAGCAAAACACACAAAGGCATGGAAGAAGTGTTTCAGTGCAGCTAAATGTATGCAGAGGGCTGCATTTTTCATGGGCAGGCAGTTAGACAAATCACTGTTTAAGTAAAAAACCCACCCTGGTATTTTATTTGATGTTTTGTCATGCTTTCAGTCATGGCAGAGAACATAATTTTCATGAGACCAGAGTTTTCAACAGAATTTCACATTTTGTTGTGACCACTGAACTGTGATATTTTGTAGTCAGAGATTATCTGTAGGAGGAGTAAATTGAAAAGACAGTTTACAGCAAATAGCTGAGAAAGGAGATTTAGAACCCAATGCTCATTGAAATAAGTGGATGAACTCTTTCCAGCCTCAACAGGCACTCAGATCAGTCTTCAGGTTCTCTTGACTTACTCCTAACCAGGCAGGGTTAGAGGTCAGCAAACTAGATCAACAGATCCACACCATCCCGCTCTCTACACGTAAACTTTGACAATTTGCTTCAGAATTCCCAACCAAACCCAGGCTGTGCATTCCCGGCACAACCTCTGTGATGGGGTGACTGCAGCAGCCCCAGTCGTAATGGCATTCAACCGCAAACACCCTAGGTATGGCTCACCCCCCAAAGTGAACAGGTACTTTCTGTGCAGGGCTGTTCACAGTGAGGGAGAAGGGATCACCGGTTCTCATGGTGACAGCATCTCTTGCATGCTATCAGCACAATCAAGTGACCTCACTTCCACAGGCACAGCCGTGAAATGCATTTGCAACAATCCTTGCAAATGCAACGATCCTTGGATCTGAGCTCTGCTGATAGCTGACACCACATGCGTCAGGGGCTGACTCTTCAGAATGGCTTAATACGCACAAAACCCAAACAAGCACAAGCTTACAAGTGTCTGCTGTCATCTCATGTCCTGTTCTCTCCATGCTGCCACCCCTTACAGGCCTAGGCTCTTGTAGAGATGAGAACAGTCAAAAATCTAGATGAAGTAATTTAGAAAGCTATACTGCAGACAAGTATTATTTCTGCTCTGAGAACTAGAAACATCCGAAGAGGAAGATAAAATGGCTCAGCTGAATGGACAATACTCTCAGGCTACGGAGCATTAACATTTTAAACTTGCCCAGTTCAATCCCAGTAAGTAAATCTGCCTGCAATGACAATCTTAGGTGTAGGCAGTAAGATTTACTCTACTGGACATCAGGATGGGCCTTCCAACTAAACCTTCCCTCCTGAAGGTCAGCTATGTAACTACCAGGTACACGCTGAACTACAGAACCCCTACATCCAGAGGGTTGGCTCGCCTAACTATGTCACCAATTGCACTGGTGTTCTCCTTCGAAGCCAGGAATCACAGCAGCACTTGTGAGGATGGCAGAATCCATCCTGGGGGTGTTGGTTGACGGCCGATTGAACATGAGCCAGCAGTGTGCCCAGGTGGCCAAGAAGGCCAACAGCATCTTGGCTTGTATCAAAAACAGCGTGGCCAGCAGGTCCAGGGATGTGATTCTGCCCCTGTACTCGGCACTGGTGAGGCCGCACCTCGAGTACTGTGTTCAATTTTGGGCCCCTCACTACAAGAAAGACATTGAGGTCCTGGAGCGTGTCCAGAGAAGGGCCACAAAACTGGTGAAGGGTCTGGAGAATATGTCTTATGAGGAGCGACTGAGGGAACTGGGCTTGTTTAGCCTTGAGAAGAGGAGGCTGAGAGGAGACCTGATCACTGCCTACAACTACCTGAAAGGAGGTTGTGGAGAAGTGGGTGTTGGGCTCTTCTCCCTAATGACAGATGATCGAACGAGGGGGAATGGACTCAAGCTGCGCCAGGGGAGGTTTAGATTGGATGTAAGGAAGAAGTTCTTCACCGAAAGGGTTATCACACACTGGAACAGGCTGCCCAGGGAGGTGGTGGAGTCACCATCCCTGGATGTGTTTAAGAGATGGATGGATGAGGTGCTGAGAGATATGGTTTAGTGGTGGACAGATACGGTTGGACTGGATGATCCCTAAGGTCTTTTCCAACCTAGTGATTCTATGATTCTATGAATAGTGCCACAATACAAGTGCTGGAGCAGACACCCCGTTGTCTCAATTCCAGATGCAGACTCGAGCTGTCCTCTTGACTGTCCACAGCACCACTGACCCCAAACCCCTCCCACACCCCTGGGCAGCCACCTCTTACCGTTTTTTAATTTCAGAGTTGCTGAAGGAGGACAAGCGTGGAAGGCCATTCTTCTCATGATCGTGTACGATGTTTTCTGGGATCTCTTCTATGGAAGAAAATGCTCCTAGACAAATAAAAAAAGAGAGCAAGTGAATCTTTCCGGGGCCGGGGTGGGGGGGGGAAAGAGAGCACAAGCAAGCATGTATGCCTTTGGCTGACAGATTTTTGGTTTATCTTTCTCTTTTCTGTATTTTTAGCGTTTACAGTTACTACGTTTAAAACTGTTAAACGATGAGACATTCTGACTGCAAAGCTGAAAACTCTTAAAATTCTTTAGGGTACGGGACATTAAGGTCCAAGACCGAACGGCCTCAACTCTCAGAAAAGCACGCAATGCAAATTTCATCAGCAATTATGTCTAAGCCTGTATCTCCCCACCTCAGCGTCCCCATTCTCTTT